TGAATGCTGTCAAAAACAATTCCCCGCAGTGCAACTAGCAAGTACTTACATCAAGTTCTGCTTTTGATTCGGCCAATCTGGTGTGGTCTGCACAATCCACAAGGAAGACAATGCCATTAATGGCAGGGAGGTAGTTTTTCCACACTCTGCGAGCTGTGTGAACGAACACAAAAACAGTTTTACAGTCTCGTTGGTCAACTAGTCGTGGACACAAAGCATAATGTCCTTATGGTGACAAGACAGAATTTACTTTATCTGCAGCAGAAACTCCTGATATCTCCATCACGTAAAAATGACTAAAACACAAAGCTATTGGAACACAGACACACCTTGTGCATGGCCTCCAAGGTCAAAGGTGGTGAAAGTCATGCCAGCGATCGTCAGCTCTTCTGAGGCTGCAGAAGGACAGAAAATGATATTGAACAAATCTAAATGTTAGGTAGCTCAGATGTCAATGATAAACATTATTTTAGACAATTTACACGAAAAACACGAGTGGAAAACATTAATAACGTACCCAATCTAATTTCCATTTAAAGGTAGGCCTGTCACAATTATTGCCTCATCAAAAAAATCTGAACTGACTGCAATTATTTTGTATAATCTTTTCCACTCACCTGTATTTAAACAACTGATAAAACTAAGACATAAATGAGATTTCAATCACTATGTCCATGTTGTTTTCCATCTTTGCACCCTCTTCCTGTGCTACAGTTTAATGGCACTCAATGTTTATCTCAAGACCTAACTATATTTGACCAACTGCATTTTCTTAATAGGCTTCTATTGACATCAATGCCACAGACTTAGTTGCAAAGTCAAAAATCACAGCTTCACTGTGGGAGCATTTTGGTTTTAGGTCAAATGAAAAAGAAGCGCCCAATAACTTGAAGAATTTATAGCAAAAGGATGGTGATCAAATGCCCTAATAGCACTAATCTAAAACTAATACATATAAAAACTTCAATCGTTCTACGCAATAATTTGTGACTCATTGACTCAACTGTCAACTAAAATTTCATGATCATGAGAGCCCTTCAACAGGATCTGAAAGTGTTGATTAAAAATGGGAAATGTAAGTGTCTGAATAATCAGCCTGAACTTCTTTGCATGAATAATCTTTCAACACATAACTGTGTGAGCATGTGTGGACATGCATGTGTGACAGTGTAGCACCAACTCACTTGGGTGTAAAGTTGGCACATGCTGTCCCAATCTGTCATCTTTGAGCATGTGCAGTAGCGTCGTTTTGCCAGCATTGTCCAGGCCAAGAAATACTAACTTGCCGGATTTCTTGTACAGTCCTGAAACAAAGCCAGAACAATTTCAGAACACAAACCTGGACACCAGAAATCCATTTCAAAGGCTGCATCATATTACACATTTAGGGAAATAAATCTTTATGTAAATAAAATAAACCGTTAAAACATAACGACAGCATATGCAAAAGACAATTGCCAGGCTCAGACTTGTTCTCAGGAATGTTCTGGATATTGGATTCACACATATAAATAGATCCTTTGATGTACAATTGTAACATGCCCAAGTGGCAGAGCTCCACCTGCTGATCTTGCCGTACTTTATTCTTGACATCACACTGTGAACATTAAATGAAACTTCAACACCTGTGCCCAAATCAAGCTACACTCTTGCATTTTTTGAAATTAGAAAAAGTAAGTAATAGCTCATTTGTAATTCTACTGAGTAATGAAAGTCGTATTTATTAAGCAAAACAACTCTTCCCAATGAAACTACTTTATTTTAAAATGCAGAAAGGGATGCTGGCATTTGTCGCTTCTCACAGCTGGGCACACTGGCTACATGAATACAGGACAAATGGGGCCAATTAGGGCCACTCCTTCCTCAACTTTCTTGATGAGATTACAAAGCTTTGTGTTTACCCCTCTGACTAAGCACAGTGATACCCAGTGGATTTGTAAAATTTCTGACTGAGTCAGCTCTACTGGATGTCATCATTACTCATAACAGCACTATGCGACCTGTCTAACAGGGAGAACAGGAACTCCTGCTTCGAACAACCAGCTCAAACACAGAAACTAGAACAGTGCACTCTGGGGAGGAGAGCAGCTGGTACATATAACAAGATTTTCCCACCAGATTTCAAATGGATACTTCCATCACAGATAAACTTAAAAGGCTAGGGTGAAAAATCATGTTATGTATCTGAGCAACATTTACTGTGTTTGGTTTTCATGTTAACATAGCACAAAAAAACTGGTGGATGCTTTTAGCTGAACCCCTTTACAGGAACATAAGGAGCATGTGGAGCCTCAGTGGACATTAAACCCATAAGCCAGCTTGTGTTAGTGCTTTTACCAAGGAGCTACAAATGCATACTCAACCTACACAGAAGCATTTAAAATAATGATCGCAGATGAAGGCAATTCATCTGTAATTCATCAAACCTTTTTTTTTTTTTTTTTTTAAACCACCTCACAAACTAGAAAGTGTGAAAATGACCTTGTGGTGTCCGAATATGAACTAACACCTTTTTCCTGACAAGAGATTGAGCTAAGGAGTAATCTTTGCTTAAAATGACATTTTGTAGTGTGGATTAGCAGGTAAGGAGGGACTTCTGCTTCACCACCAGGATATTTGTGTTTCAGATTTGTGCCTGTGGTCACAAAGTAAACACACACTTTAGGAGAAACCCTGACTTCTTCCCATCAGCTTCAATGGCAACAGGAATGGATTACGAGGCACAAATCTCCAATTTTCACTCAGCATTTGAACACCGACTTGTAAGACAGATCAATAGTTGTAACAACTAAACCTCTTTTTGCGACCACTGAATACATTATTCAGACTATATTCGCACTAAATCCTCTCTAAAATTATCAACTATGTTCCCCATGCTAATGAACATTTTAACAGCTTTGAGGTTCACACCAGGATAATTCCATTTTGATTAACTGCCTAAAATGTCAAAACAGTCAAGACTGTTTGCACTTAAAAAAAAAAAACTTTTCAAACTGAAATGTTTACTGTGAGATAGCGAGTCAACAGTACTCACCTAAAAACTGTAGTACGCTATTGAAACCTGTAGTAATCCAATCAAACAGGAATGACATATCCGGAGCTGTTGAATCCTAAAAGAAAACAAATGGGACAAAACAGGGGTAAGAAGACATGAATGCGCACAGACACAGAATAAAAAAAAGTTGCAACAACTTAATTTAGTGATAACGTCCTTAAATACCATACAGCGAGTGACAAAAGTGAAAAATGCTGCTAGTAATCTGGTGTTGTGACTTTTCTCTCTAAATATTTAGCAATGAATTGTTTAAATATTTTTTACTGCAAGTTGTGAGTGACATACAGTGACCCTGCTCCGGCTGAAGTTTAGAAAAAGGAGTGTCAACACACTGGTAGGAAATTTAGGAGCACATTTGAATCAGAATCTGAATCTCTTTGTCATTGTACAAGAATGCACAACAAAATTCAAGTTAACAGCTCTCGTGGGCAGTGCAAAACAGGACACAAGACATCGTATAATATATTTTTAAAAAAGACTGTAGAGTTCACTGGGGGTGGGGGGTATATACACAACTAAAGGGATGAATAATACAAAAAAAAATATTATTAAAAAATATAAAAACAACCGGGATATTTGGGCAGTATCTCTCTCTTTTTCTTTTTTCTTTTTTTTTAAATCAACAGCATGAACAAAACACTGAGGTTCACCTAGTTTTCACAAAAGCAGCACTTAAAAGACGTGACCCATGGTTAGATGGCATACAAACATTGTGGTACACAGTAACAAATCTAGCAAATTACTGTACTCATGGGAACACAAAGACCATACAAACAGCGAAGGTTCTTGACATCATAACACTTCGATCTAAAAATGAAAAACTTTTTTCCCTTTTCAGTTGGACTAAATCAAGCCTTAATAGCTTGAGTTAAGAGGCTCAGAACCTACAAGGGAAAACACCTGGGAACCCAAGAGCCAAACTGAACAGAAACAAAAGTATCAGATATCCGGAGACAGACAGTAAGATCAATAAAAAACCAATCAGTGTTCCTCATCACAAACCTCATAAAAGTGATGGCAGCCTACCTTAACCTATCAGATTGATACTAGCAACTGGTGATAAGACCAATGAGTGGCTTGCTACAGCCAATGATTAGCTTGTTCCAGTAGGACTCTTTGGACAGCAGAACAGCAGATTCAGAGCCCTGAACACATTCCGTCTGACAGTTCTTCCAAAGGCAACATGATCATTTTGTTCAACACAACCCATCTGCAAGGGCTTCAGGAACGAAGCCTAGTCTTGGCCTTTGAAAATAAGCTAGCCATATTGCATTTCAATCAAAACAAACTAGATCTGAGACGTTACTTGCTAAAACTGTGTGAATTCAACAGCTTCCTGACGATGTGCAACAACTTGTTGCTTCATTGAAAGAAAACCTCCTCTTTTGTTCATTTGTCATTCTAGTTCACACAAGTTTCTTTATCCTTCTTGTATTTGACATGTGATCAAATGCGTCACTGTTATGGTCATGAGAAAGGAGGGCAAAAAACACAAACTCACTCAACCAGTAGGCCATGAAGAAGCTTGTGCCCCGTGGATCTATGGTGTCTCCCACATTGGACATGTACTCCAAATTCATCTACGTTTCTAGCCTTTTCTCTATGATAGATACAGAGGTACCAGAACAAGGTAAGCTGATGCCGACCTCTAGTCCTACTTGCGTAACACGCAAACAACTCCAGGGCTAAAGTATAAGGTAGACAAAGGTCAAGATCATGCAAATACAGAAAACACAGCTGAATTACACGTCAGCTGCTGTTACGCTCCAGACCGATATGCTCCCACGCCTGCGATGACACTGTGGGTTGGCATTACAGACTGATGGCTGCACATGTGGAGTGATGCAGCCGTGAACGTGAAACGCTCACAGTGACAGACAACAAGTACAGGCAGACATTGCCCGCTATAAGACGAATACATAGATGTGTGCCACAAGGCATGTGGTAAAAGCTTCACAGAAAGCAGCAGCCTAAACCTGTTATAAGAGATCTGCTTCTGTTGTTTACAGGGTGTGCAAACTGATCATTAGGCAAGACTAACTCCTATAAAGTCACATCGATACAAAGTGTGACAAAAAAATTCTGGTTGCCTAATACAGGTGATTTAAGGTGCATGACAAGAATTTGCTCAGAGGCCCCCTTAGAGCTAAAACTCAAAATCACTGAGGCAGTTGCTATGAATTAAATCTTTCAAATGAGTAAGTGACAGTTACTTCTAGTTAACACTTAAATCACAGTTTTGTTTTTTAAACAAGTGACTAATGGTGCATTGAGTCAAAACTCAGCTACACGTTCTAAAAGTTTACTCATATTACTAACATTATGCAATATCTGAATTCAAGCCTTGCAAATGCTTAACTATGTGAAATTACAATTTGGATGATTGAAAAATGTGTTTAACTACTAAATTCGGGGGAACACTAGAAGGACACGCTTTCCCCTTTCAGGAGATATGGTCTTTGCAATTTCTTATCTATTGTAAGACTTCAGGCAGTTGTTGACCATTATGTCTATTAAAGAAGTAAATGACAATGACTTCAACACACTCAATACTGTTTTCCAAATGGGTGAACAAGGGTGGAATTAGACAGAAGTCATTCAGGTACATATTGTGTATTGTGTGTTACCAACAGCATCCAACTTCTGAACAACTTGCATCTAAATAACTATTCATTGTTAGTTTTTCCTCACACTTTAGTAGTATGGAAGACATGAACACAGCAGCTTATGTAAACCTCCAGTGATATGTTAAACTCTCAAATTCATCTGAACATATAGAGGATACTTTATGTATTTGTAGAAGATATGGTCTCTATGAATTCCCACCTATTGTAAGATTTCAGGCAGCTGTTGAGAATTATATCTATCATGTGAGTTATTGAACATTATTTTAAGTTAATACTTAAAGTACAGTTTTGTTTTTAAAATAGTGATTAAGGGTGTATTTACTGAAAACTCCCCAAGCTACACATTTTGGAAATTTTGCCAGTAATACTAACATTATCCTTCCCAGTGTCTCAATAACAATTGTTACATTTCTTCCCACACACATAATGGGAATTTCAAAACACTTACTTATGTATTTGGGAAATGTGTCTAATTACTAAATTAGGAACAGTAACACACATTTTCTGAGGTAATATGGTCTACATAAATTCTAATCTACTGTACGATTTGAGGCAGTTGTAGTAAATAATGTCTATCAAATGAGTTAATGATAGTTATTTCGATTAACGCTTACTTAAATGAGCGACTAAGGGTGTATTTAGCCAAAAATCACCATGCTTAGCATTTTGACATTACCCAACTTCTGAGTGATTTCTTCAGCGTTTAATATCAACTGCTACTTTATCATCATACTCAGATAGAAATCAAGACTTGAAAATACATAGCTATGTAAAACTAAAGCTGTGACATTTGAGGAATGTGTTTACAAAATTAAATCATTACGAATACCAGGACACATTTACTCCTTAAGAATATATGATCTCTACGAAATCTCATCTATTGTAAAATTTCATGACTTTATAGATGTAGCAAGAAATCTGTGACCACGTTAACTGTTAATACTCTGGATGCGGTTTGACTGGGCTGTCAAAAAAGTACCCAAACCGCTATCAACGTAGCAGAGGTAGCTAACCTTTACCTTGACGGCTAGTGTAACATGGATGATTGGTCTCCGCCAGGTTATACGTTGGCAAATACATTACAAAAAGGCCCAAAAATAAGAATAATAACAAAACATATCAAGCTTAGACACACTAGTTATGTTTAATTTGAAAAAACAGGGTGAGGCCGGCTAACAGACAAGCTAGCAGGAAGCCACTAGCTACGTGTCATTTTCTCTATTAGGCGACGTTGCACCGACAGCTACGTTAGCTAATCAGCAGTTAGCTGGAGAAATAGTTCGTCGATGTACTAAAGACATCATATTCTTGGGATAGTGCGAGTGTTTTTCCACCAATAACAAACGCGAACGTTAAAATAAAACAGCCGGTCAAGTTAAGTTCAAATCCAGTTAGAGACACAGTGATAAAACGGCAACTTGGCGTTAGCAATGCTAACGTAGCAACGTTAGCAGCCGGGATAATTTGCTAGCTGAGATGCCGAACGTTCACATAAGACTTTTTTTCTGGTCAATATCGACAAAGTATATCCAAAAACTTACCCGCTATTTAGGTGTAGATTAATTTACCGAGTGTGTTTGCTCCAATAGTCATGTAAGTTGGTCTCTCGGTCCAAAAAAAAAGAGAGCCTGCGAGATGCCAGATCTTCCTCTCCTCTTTCGTGTTTTGTTACTGAGCCACGACACTGCAATGGCTGTCCAACAACTCCCCAAACTCTGCCCAGCCGCTTCCCGTTGTTTCATCATCACCTTCCGGCAGGAGACCTGAAATAAACCAATGGTCTGCTTTTCTTTTTATCTTACAGTACTCATAAACATGATTCAGTAGTTTATTCTCGTGAAATATTTGTTTTAAATCAATGTGCGTATGAGTGGTTGACATATCAAACAAAACAACCAACCACAGAAACAGCTGCTCGCATCTGGTCATCCTGTCCAGCATTCTTACAGTAAAATCCTCTTATTTTGCTTTTAATTATCAGTGTGTGTATGTGGTTATATATATATAGGTGACAATTACTGTGAAGATCGTTTGGAATCTATGTGGACAGAATATTTCTTTAACAGATGTCTTGCCCAAAACTGATTGCACGCTTCATGTTAAAGTTGTACTGAGCAGTTTATTTGCAGCTATGTGCAAATGTACAAAACTTTATGTCGAGTCAACGTTATTTTTATAGCATTTACGGCAAAAACCATTGCGCCAAAGTGCTTCCCAGTTTAAATAATAAAGTTGAGACCCCACGGTATTGTTTATGGTGTGAATTTAATTTAGTAATTTACATATTACAGTTTAAACCCTGCAGAAACGATATCAAGCATAAATTTACCTGACTATAATAAATATTACCAACTAAGAGGCCACAGTTGTTGTTGTTTTTTTTTTTAGTTCTGAAGAATAGTTTATACATATAATCATTCCTTTGAGGTAGTATGAGCAAGCTTTGTTTTAATCTTTATTTTTAGGTGTATTATTTTGTTTAATATTTTTTGGTTTGTTTATTATGTTAGCATAATAGAAAAGGTATGTCTTTGTAAAACTTAATTTTTTGTGATCGCATTAATCACATTTCCGCATAATAGAAGGGATGCAGTCACTTTTCAGCAAGTGGAGAACTGTATTATATAAGTGGAATGGGTCCTTAAAAGCTATTTCAATCAATAAAAACATCTGGATTGGTGATAATATAGGGCACAGAGCTGGTAAACATGAGGGCAATTAGTTAATGACAAACGATCCCTTTTTGGTACAACACCTGTCCCATCAGATACACCAAACTGAATGAGAAGATGGCTTGGTAAGACAGTGATTGCTCATAAAATCGCAGATCTTGTTTCCAGTACGCTGGAAAATTATGCGCACCGGAGGAAATGCCACGTGTACACACTGCGCATGCCCGACGATTTTTACGTTGATCCTGCTGGGTGATCCCAACTTCCGGTGAAAGGGGAGAAGGCAGCGTCTCACACGATTACTCCGACCAGGCCCATCGTTACTCACCCGTTGCTAGTTGAACGGGGATTTCGGTAATAGCCATGGCCCTGTGATAGCCAACAAGTGGCCGAATCAACTTTTCAGGAAACTAGGAGACGTCCCCGTAGACACTGCTTTGACTCGACGCCACATCGTCGGAGCCACAGGTTAAACGTTACCCCGCGACTGCCTGCTAGTTAGCTAGCTAAAGACGCAGCTAGCTATTCGCCAACCAAGCACCTCTAAATTAGATCCTGGTGTCTATTTCAAGATGTCAACCGCGGGGTTCAACTCTCAGAATGGGACTGGGACGGGGCAGACGTACGCGAACGGTGAGTAACATTTAGATACAAGTAAAGTTAGTTTAAGGTGAAGTAGCTAACACCGGCTAACTCGCTTAACGCAAGTAAGAAGCGGACAGTAGCGGCACTTATTGGATCTTGGGTCTGTGGCTATTTGCTAACTGTTAGCTAGCTGGCTTGCTTAGTAACGCTGTAACGAAAGGTAGCCAAGTAAGGGTGAGCTGTCACGTACGGTTACGCCAGGATAACTGCGGTTAAGCTTGACCTATGTTACCTTACTGACTTAAGATGGCTAAAATAGGTTCTATCGTTAAGGTACGCTAACTATACATGTTGTGCTACCTAGCCAAACTTAGCAAGTGTTTGCTAGTTTTGGTTTGTCGAGGTGGCAAACCAACAGGTTGACAAAATGATTACGAGACATTATAACATCATCTAGACAGGTGTTTCATTGTCGCATCTTTGTGCTGTAAATACGGACATAATGCGAAATCATCGTAAATGTGACATTTAATGTTTTCACTTTAAGCTGCTCGTTGACTCAAAACTTTCCCTACCATATTATAGCATCCAACGAGCTTTTACTTGTCATTTTTCACTGACCCTCCTAAGAGTTTTTACTGTGCAGTTCGTTTCCCAGTAAACAATCCTACTTACATGTTTACTAGTGCAGTCGCTGTTGTGCAGTACGGATTTTTAGCTTGCTAAATGAAATAATTGGAACTTGTTTGCGTCCTACGTTGCACTGTACATGTGGCACATTGGGAATGATCCAGATACGTTAAATCAGAGGTTTCTCCAGCTTGAAGCAATTATGTACTTAAGTGTGAGAATGCTCACACATTTCTGTCATGTTCCCATAAACAAAAACAATCCAAATGCAATCGGTGACAGCTGACAAAAGCCCTAACTTGATATTTTTTTGTCTGATGATGATCAACTCCTGTGAAGGAGCTGTCTTGTACTGAGCACAAGAAGCACCTGCATCTCATGTTTATAATGCCTCAGCTGGTTTTCTAACATTGTAGACAAACAAATATGAATTTTTCATTCCATTTTGCCTTAATCGTAATTCCTGTTTCTCGTGAATCAGACGGGCCATTAAAGGATTTTAATCTAGCTTTGTACTTTGCGCCCTGATCAATCTGAAAGCACTGTGTTGCTGACAATAGGAACAAACCATGAAAGCATGCCACTGTGTGTGATTAGTTTTCAGAATAGGGCCTGTAAATAAAGTCTCAACACCGACTATCTGGTTAGTTGCCAGTTCAAATACCATGAAGGATCTGTGTAATCAATCATCAAAAGTGATCAATATGTGCATCTTTTATATTTTGCCACACTGAAACATTTTTACATCTCAAGTATAATTTACATAAGTCATGCACGTATAGAAATAACATGTTTAAAGACTGACTCTAACTACAGGGAATCTACCTACTGTAAACTTGTCTTATTAGCATGCTTGAGAGATATCCTCGCTTGACTGATCTATATTTTTTTGCATAGTATTATCACACAGCCACTTGATGTAAGTGAGGCCAGTGGTTACAATGAGCTGGACTGGAAAGGCTTTCCTTGTTGCATTAGTAGTAATTGGTTAAAGCTATCGGTCTGCACTGTCCTTGTGTATCCTCATGTCATTTTGAGGTATTTAACAGTGGAACAAGACAGACAGCATTACTGGATTTATGGGATAAACGTTATGAAGAAGCTTCAGTAATGACTGCATATAACTGCAGTAATTACCCCACTTCCCCTCTAAAGGTTTTCCTATGTAAAGAAGAATTATCAGTTTTATGGTTGAAGTTATGTTCCTTCACTGTTATCTGAAGATGTATGTTGACAAAGGCTCTTTTTTTTCAAACTTCGAACAATCAGTGTCAGTCTGAGTGACTGCAGGAACAAAATTGCGTCTAAAGATCTGTTGTTTTTCTGTTTTTCTTTAGCTCTTGTTGTGCTGACTTACATCCCCAAGTCTGTATTTGCAGTCATCTCTATTTGCTCATTTTAAGCTAGCTTTGTTTTTATGTTTTTACCTTTGAATTCGTAATTGGCTGAGAGGTCTGACTCCACATTAGGCTCTTTCTGATTGGACAAGAGCTCTTAACTGGCGAGGAGCTTTAGGTCTTACAGTTTCCCTGCTCACCGGAAGGACAAAGATTTGAGGTGGATTATGTTCCTTCATCTATCTTTGCTCATTGAGAAGAGTTGCTTTCTAATCCCTTCTCACTCTGCTGACTTAGCTGTGCTGCCTGTTATGTAGTGAGGACTAAGTTGATAGTAGTGAATCTGTTTGCATTATGTAATCATTTAGAGCACAGACAGCAACACATTGATGCTGCAATTTAAGCACTGACGTCTGTTAGATTGTAATTTAGATAACATTTGTTGATGTGAATTCCTACCCTGACCCATTTCTTCTTTTCCCCCCTGATTATTAGATAATAATTTCATGTCTCTTTTCTGTTTGTGACAAAATCTTGCATCATAATTTTTATTTGAGATTCTGGAAATTGAGAAGCAAATGCCACATTTTAGTCTACTCAATGCACAATCACAGTATTTTAGTAGTGCAAAAGTGTCTAGTGTTTTACAAGTGCTGTGTTAGGTAAAGTAAGGTCAGCCTTTGCTTGGAGCCCCACAATCACTGTCACTGAAGGCAGATCATGGTGAATTACATCCAAGTAAAGAGATTAGACCCTCAGCTGTCAGTTCTTTGGTCATTTGGTGGGTCTGAGTGGTTTTCACTTTGTGTTGTCAGTACCAGTACTGTGCCATCTGTTTTTCATGTAACTTTTAAACTCTTTGAACAGATTTCAACACAATGAATTCCTTTAATAAAAAGACACTTGAATAACAAACAAAAGCCCCTTTCAGGCCTTAAATCTGTAACAATGGGGGTTTCATCTGTTAGGGATGCTAATGGCATGGCTCTCGAGCTTTTGAACATAAGGCTACCTTTCAGAAATGTTCGACAATAAGTCTGGTCAAGCATGACAAGACTGTAACCTAGAGAGCTGCAGTCCTTGTGAAAATGTTGGCCTCTGATGCACAAGAGGGACTCCAGCAGCCCTTTTCTCAACACAGTAGTTGAGCAGCTGGGGAACAATTTGAAAGAGAAGTGTTCAACGTGAAGTTGATATGTAAACCTACCAGAGCATTTTAGAAGTAATGAGCACAATTGAAAGGTCTTTGATTACTCGATGTGTGTTGTTTTAGTTGGGGGAATAGTAATGTTTTTTTTTTTATATATATATATATTTTTTTTGATCGTGACAGTGAAGATGGACAGAGAAATGTGGGGAGGAGAGTGAGGGAATGACATGCACTAAATGAGCTGCTGGCTGGAATCAAACTGCGGCCACTGTGTCGGGGATTAAAGCCCCGACACATGGGTCGCCTGCCCTACCCGCCGAGCTATCTGGGCGCCCTGAAATTGTAATGTTTTTGACCTAAATTCATTAACTTGTCTGTATTTTTCCATCCATTGGTCTCCAGGTCCATCACAGAATCCTGTTGCCCTGCAGCAGCTGCCAGGGGTCAGTTATGGCATGACTCACCAACCAACCTACAATCCCATGCAGGCCAAAGTTCCCCCACCCCCTGGTCCTGGACTCTACCCTTCTGCACCATACCAGCCTGTTCCCCCAGTTAGCTCCTATCAGCCAGGCCCACCACTCACTTCTTACCCACCCTCTCCAGGCCAGCCGCTGTTGCCCAGGCCTCCAATGAGTGGTCCTCCATCCCATACCCCTCCTCAGTCTGCCAGCCCCAGCCCTGGTCCCAGGATGCCCCCTGCACAGGCCACACCTCCTCCTCCTGCTGTGTCTTCAAGTAGCTACTATCCAAACCCTCAGCAGCCCATGGCTCCAGCATGGCAGTACAACACAGCTCCCCCACCAATGGGGCCTCCCACTTCCATTAGCACGCCTCCCCGCGGCCCTGTGGCAAATCATGTGAATCCAGCTGCAAGCTTAGCAGAACCGCTGCCACCTTCATCGGCAGCTTATAGCAGCACACCACCACCCCGCATGTCCCAGAGTGTCACCCAACCCCCAGGCCCGGGGATGCCCCCCACCTCTATGCTTGGATACACTCAACCAGGTAAGAACACAAAGGCGCCACTGAACGCCACACTTGTAGCAGTCACTGTATCTTCTAAATACACAAAACGATTCAATTAGCAAATTATAAATTAATTACACTGAAGTGAGGCAACCACCCCCAGTTATCACAAATGAGACACCAATGATGCAGGCAGGTCTTTGGTCATCTCAATAAAAAAATGACTCATTCTTTTAGGTTTCAATAAAACCAGATCAATGAACTTTTATTTATTTAATTAATTTTATCGTCACTATTTCCTTATTATAATTAAGCAAACATTGTCGATATTAAATAATGATCACAGTTAACTTTCAAGCTTTTTTCTATAATAGGATTAAGATTACTGTGACTTCTGTACTGTCATTGTCTTCTGTTACTGACATGTGCTGCAGATATGCATATCTAGAATACTGATTTGTTGGAACTGGACATTGCCCTCTGCTCCTGCAGTGAACTTGTTGGCTGGTTGCTGTTTCTGGCTGCCACCCAATCACAGAAACTCATTCTCTATGAATTTGTACAAAGTTCAAAAGAGAATTTTATTGTTTCAGGTGTAATTCTTTTGAATTAATATGGCGTAATTTAAGTACTATTTGTTCCTGGTGCAGTTTTTAATGTTTTCTACCGTTGATTGTAACCAAATGCAGATAGGGGTATCTTTGAGGCATTTATAACAATTTAATAGTATCTGGTTGTAGTTTGATTTCCTGTTGTGGGAGTTAAAGGGTTGCCTCTACTGAGAAGTAGTTAGTTCACAGTGTCAAAAGTCAAAGACCACTCACAGAGGATCTCAGCAACTTTGCTCACCCAACAGGAAGTGGTTTTGTTACATGATGTGTGCATTATAGAAGCTGGTTGTGTAATTTGTGACCACAGTGTCTGAATGATTTGTTAAAGCATTTTGTAATTTAAGGTCTTGTGATCTCCTCTGTCTAGATGTAACCAGCATATCTCTCAGGCTTATGGTCATATTAGCTTAGACCGTCAAGACATATCTGGCCAGTACAATGGTGACAGAAAAGGTTAACTGTAGAAGTGGTTAGGTCATTGTGGAGATATTTACACTGTTGACTGATTTAAAATGTCACCCAAACCACGATCCAGATTGTTCCTTTTTTTTTTCATAGTGCAGTCAGTAAAATGTTTCAGAATAAATGTAAAATGGGACAGTGCTTATATAAAATGTAAAACAGCAGTGTGCACAATGTGACGTAGAGAGGGTTATCATTTTAGTGCTTATTATGCAGCCTCATCTCAGCTTTATTCTGCTTGACGTTCTTGATAGATTATTGCTTTATAAAAGTTTGAATTATTTGTCCTTTAAATTTTGAAGTCTCCCTTTTTTACACACTACTTTAAGAATCATCAACCTAATAAGGTGCATTTTAATAGACATGTTGCTTAGTGAACTCTCTGACTCTCATTTATTAAAACTGACCTCATACAGGCCTTAGGCACAAAAACTGAACATACTTGCTGCCATCACTGAACAATAAGTTTATCAAGGAGTTTGTTTGGGTACAGACAGGCCTGGACGAGCTGGTTTGTCAGCGGAGATGGATGTGTCAGTGCTCTGACATTAGCAGGCTGGGTCAATAGTGCCACCAGCTGTTGTCGCCACCATTAAGCACTTATAATGTTACAGCACCTCTGTGATGCCTCATATCTGTCTCGTACATGATATGCACCAAAGGGACAGAGTTGTTTTACACAGGACAGTAATGCTAACATAATTTTAGAAGCGATAACTCTGTTTAAATTATGTCACTGATAGTGCTGTTTCACCAGTAAGATGGAAGGTGTTGCTGAACTCCCCAATGACATTGTAACTCAGCTGAGAGAAAATAATTTAACAGTACCTTTTGGCATTGTCATACAAGTCATTTATAAACCAAAAAATAATGGTAGTCTCTTGGTCCAGCCTTTGAAATTTTAGGACTTGCTGCTTTTCTCTTTTGGAAATTGTCACAAACATTACAGATGTTACAATACCAGACATTTGATGTTTGCTACTTGTACCACAGAAATTCTATGATTCCTCTAACAATTTTCATACCACAGCCAAAAACAACAACAAAATAAATGTATTCTAATATCAATTTGGAATGGAGCTTTCAAGCAATAAAAAAAAAGACATCACTATTCATAGCAACATTGCACCAAAAAATACAAATGTTGACATTTCTGCTGGAGTGCCCAGCAGTTGATATATGGATAAAAAAAGCGACTCTTCAACGGACTAAGCGTAAGAAGCATATTAAAAATACTACAATTTTGGGGAAAAACAGTAGCAAACAGTTGAAGTGTTTAAAACAAACAATGCTGTGTCATAAAACTCGCTTATCCAGTTTTGTTGTGAGATTTTGTCATTTTCTGTCTCAGAAAAGTTTTGGGTGTGGCTGACTACTTCCTCGTGCTGATATTGTGAAAAGGCATTTTTTTTATTGCCATGGGGCAGACGTATCAGTTCTTGTGACATCCCCAGCAAGCATTGCACACTAGTTTGTCACACTATGAATGCTAAATAAGTAATTGATTGATTTCGGGGGGGAAAAAAATTGAGAGATAAATCGATGTTAGAAATAATCATACAACATGCTTGCTGTTGTTTTTTACCAGGCACTGCACCTCCACCAATGAATCCAATGATTCCCAACACATACCAATCAGGCAGACCTGCATACGGGCCTCCACCTACAGGCCCGCCACCTATAGGCCCACCACCAACCATGAGACCCACACCGCCTCCCACTGGACCCCCAGTGGCCAATGCTACACCTCCACCACCCAAAGGAGATGGTAAGTTTGTGTTTTTTCTGATCTGGCTGATTGATTTTGAATGGTCTCACAGGGGCCACCGACCTGCTCCGTAGGTCAGAAAGTGGAGAATGCAGGTTTTTTCAGAAAGCATTTACAGAACCAAACATGAAAATGGAACCAGGCTTACATGAATCCGGTCAGTAAAGGAGAGTTAGTACTTCAGACTCGTTGCAGATAGACAGAGAGGGGTATGTTTTATCTAACGCTGGAGGTCAAAGTCAGCGTAGCAGCATTTACTCCCACAGAACAATTATTATGTGAAGTACAAGCATTTTGTTGCTGCTGATTGTAAAGTGACTACTTGTGATGATCATGATACTGTGTCACTTTGCACTTGTAACTGTTTGTCCTTTTATAAGGCAACCATTAATGTTCTGATCATCGTTGTTTCCTTCCCTCCTTCCTCTACATGCCAGCTCAGTGTGGGGGGGCTGTTAACAGCACTCTCCCCCCTACTGAGTCCAACGGCCAGGAAGGGGATATTGAATGTCCAGGTGTGACTAAATCTGTCATTAGCTGTTCGATGTTGTGTTAGTGCTGTGGTGCCAATCTTGTCCTCTCTTTCCTTTTATCATTGTATCTATGGATGCACTATTTCTTTTTCAACCCCGTAAACTCATATCAAATATGAAGCTCTACAGAATCAGCTGACACTGAGCCTTAAACTGTTCCTTTGACAGAACAATGCTCAAAATGTTAAAAAAAAAAAAAGCTTGTCAAAAGGTATTAGTCAAAATTCTGTCCTCTAAGCTCTGTAACTGGTGCTTATGTAACTGGATATTTCTTTTAGTGCATCCCTGGTAACAAATACTTCTTGTTAGTAGTTTGTTTGCCTCTTCGTCATCTAGCGTCACCATATCTCCCATATGAATCTCTGAATAAACATTTTAGAAGCACCAAAGTACAAATGTTTCCTCAAAAAGACTATTAGTTTGCATAATTAGCATCCTCATTAGTATTGTTGTACTTCAGTGACACCCTCCTTGTGTCCATCTTGCACGTATCTTGCATGGTAGTTTATTTTCATTTCATATTCATCATCTGTGGTTAGCCCTCTGTGTCAGAAGCAGCTTTTTGCAAAATGTCACTAAAAATATTCATATTGTATCTGTGTTTGCTTCGAAACAGGAGCTGTGGCTGGCAATGGGCCACAAGCATCAAACAGCTATAATCATGTTGACAACAAAATGGGTAAGGCCATTTTCTGTCACATACTGGATTCTTTTTCACATCAACCACATGTGCAGTTTAGGTTTTCCAAGTATGCTTTTAAAGCAGTTACACACTTGGCAAATGGTCCTCTCAACAGGTTTTGCAGGAGGCAAAGCATTTCTACTTTTTATTTTAGAATCTGCAAAAGTAAACCCATTCTTCATAACTGTTGGAACACTTGAAATCAGTATATTTTCTATAAAAATCACTAAATCCAAAATATCACAGAAGTGAAGCTTCATAAAGCATACCAATAGCTGTCAGTTCTGGTTTGCTGTTAGCAATAGCATGTTTGTATTGTCTTAGCTTTAAAGGATAAGTCTGAGAATGTATGAGATTATTTTTATGTCATTGAGAAAACCACTAAATCTACAATGAGCTAATCTTCCTAACAGTTACTGCCTGAGTAGCCAAAGCTAAAATAGCTAATACCGCTGTGCCATAACCCTCTGTATTTGAAACACATTTCAGCTCAAGCAAAATTTCAAAACACGGTTTAAAAAGTAATGTAACAACAAAATATGTGCAAAAATGCAAGACAGAAAACATAATAGAAACTAAAACCAGGCCAAACAGGGTAACAACTTATGAAACAACAATTCTAAAAATTAAAATGAATTTAAAATACTGAATATTAGGACCCCTAAGCGCAATTAAAAGCTGCTGGAAACATGTTCGTCTTATGATTTTATTAAAACTGTCAATAGAGGAGGAACATTTGATTGAAAGAGGAATGCTATTTCAAAGCTTTCGAGCTGCTCCTGTACACGGCTGATCTCGCTTTCGATTGTGGAACAGTAAACGGCAGTTGTTCTGAGGAGCTAAGAGGCCTTGAAGTAGAGTAGCTCTGAAATATATTCAGGTGCCAACTTGTGCATTTATGAGACAAACCACTGTGCTGGGTGACGTGTACCTTCATTACCATGAAACACTGCCACTGTTGTTTATTTTGAGCCAATCCCTCATCCACTGTGCTGCTGTAAAAACCCATCAGCCACAAAGTCTGTATTAATCCGCAGATGAAAATTGTCTCTGTCAAATGCATGATTTACTCCAGTTTGGGTAATATTCGCTCAAACCACAGTGCCTCAGGTCTTTATTAAAGTGTTGCTGAGAACAGTAAGAAAGGTGCAGTGTTAAGACTGATTGATGCATTGTTGGATTTGGCCTTTTTATGAGGTTTGGTAATGGCAAGAAAAATGAACCGAGTGAATAATAAGACTGTGGCCTTGGCATTTAAAGGCATTAATTTGTCCAGTGATGCCTGCTACTCAGTGAGTTTGATTTCTTGTGTAAACTGAACTCATCTGTGTTCCCTTTTCCTCCTCAGCCGGCCTGACTCAGCCTGGACCGCCTGGTCGGCACTTGGGCCACTACCCTTCCCTGCCCCCCGGGTACCAGAACACCTCGGCCCCTCACGCCGCCTCCTCGATGCACCCTGCGCTACAAGCCGCCACGCAGCCTTACACTCAAGCACCTCAGCCATACCAGCAGGTGAGAGGAAAGTCACAGCCGACTGTGCGATGTCACAACACTTTGCATATGTTGGTTGTTTGCGGACTTGTCACGCATATGCACATGAGCTAAACCTGCGTGTGGTGGTTTCATGGAAATCTGACAATGCCAGCGCAGTTTGTTTTGTTTGTGTCTTTTACTTTTATTGTTTATAGAATTAAAACACCTCAGTAAAGGACTATTTTGGGATAAGTTTGGGTTCATCAGTGTTTATTATTTACCCTTTTTTGTCACATAAAAATTGTACCCAAGGATGATCCAGCCTTGTGGAGGTCCACAATTCTCTTCCTGATATCTTGGCTGATTTCTTTAGAGTTTCCCATGTCGTCGCAAAAGGGTTCAGTGTGTTTGAGGTGTGCCTTAAAATGCTTCCACAAGTGTGCCCCAAATTAATTCAAATGTTGTGAACTAACCTATCAAAAGCTTCCAAAGCCAACAACATCATCATCTGGACTTTCCCAAATAGTTTGAAGGCATAGCAATCTTAGTGTATTTAATTACCTTTTAATTACCTTTGACTGAAGAAGTGTTGGTAATCCTAACTGACCTAAAACAGGAAAAGTTTAGTCAGATTTAATGTCGGACAGTGAGTAAAAAAAATAAGTATGTCTTTTTATGTAGAATATGTAAACTTCTGGTTTCAACTGTATGATGAGGAAAGACTGAAGTTCTGACAATTCAGCATTTAATGAAAATGTTAAAAATAGACTGCCCATTAAACCCGTCGCAATGGCAGTATGAAAACATCTATACAGGCACGCCCGCTGATAGGGGGGGACAAACGGGTCTGTTGTCCCGGGCCCAGAGTGGCGGGGGTGCCCAGAACTGGACCCTCATTGAATTATGGATTTTTTTTCCCCAAAGAAGGGCTATTAATGGAAAGATACAGTGCAATATTTGAGTTAGAAGTTTTAATTTGTTTTCGTCTGAACTGTCTTTAATATCTTTGGAGTTGCCCTCCACCCCCACCTCCAACATTAAATGGTTTGGCCTCTGATCAACATCTGATGTCCTTTTATTGGAAGTTCAGATTTTGCACTTCAGCACCAAAATGTCCGCTCAGCAGAAATCTGGTGCTCAGAAAAGGAAAAGGAAGAGAAAACGAGAGGAAGAAAATAGAGGCCTTAGAGATTTGCTTAAAGAATATTTTAAAAAAAGGTGGTGACACGAAGCTGGAACTAGTAAAGTCAGCGTAGAGCGAGGTAAGAAACAGCGGAGCCAGCGTTTGTCAGTCTTGTAACGTTATCTGGCTAGCTCTTAATATCCATTAACTATGATAAAAATCCTGACAAAACACAGGTTGTTTTGACAGAAATGGACGAGTTTAGTGGCTCCGTCAGAGAGGATGAGACAGAGAGGCCGAGGCGAGAGATCCACCTGCCGTCAGGTAACAGAGATGAGGAGGAAGGGGCCAGCTGGTCCACAACAGAGGGACAGAGTCAGACCACGGATGAGAGAGAGACCGAGCGTCAAAGTGTAGCGGGAGGGGCTTGCTGCCCAGTCGGACAGTCTGAGCAGGATGGATGAAAGAGATGTAAAGAAAGCAGAATAGAGGAGAATAAGAGGAGGTAAGGTGAGGAGCAGGTGAGGAGAGGAACAGGAGAGGAAGAGCAAAGCAAAGGGGAGATGTGGGTGAGTGGAGCGAGGGAGGAATCTAATATCATCTTGGCCCAGGGAAGGCTGTCAGCTGGCCTGTATACAGGTCTGAGACTTTATAAGTTGTATGCTTCTCTGACACTTGTGTTTGTTCTGTAATAATATGAAAAACTATATTTTAAAAAAGTAAGTCTGTAAAAGGATTTTCTGGAAATACAATACTTGAGGTGTTTAAAGTGGTCAGACTTGGAGGCAGTAAATAATAACAGATATTTAAAGCTGTAATTGCGAGTGCAAGTCATCATCCACACTAAATTAAATAGCTGTCAATAGTTTTTGGTATATGCACAACTGAATAGCTTGTCGTTTCCTTTCTCTCAGCCACCTGGTGGCCCAGGCCCGGCCCAGCTGAGCCCGTCATTGGCAGCCATGAGCCTCCAGTCCAGCACCCCTGAGGCCCTGAGAGTGGTCAACCTGCTGCAGGAGAGGAACCTGCTGCCGCCCACCCCGATCCCAGCCCCAACACCCTGCCTTCCCCAAGACCTGCAGAAGATAAACTGCCACCCGGAGTAAGTCATGGTGGACTAATACACCTGATGTTTCTAGCGACTGTGACTTTGATTTGATTATGCTATTATCTATTAACAGTTTTGTTTTTGTGACTGACATGTTTTTAGTCTTTTATTGTTTCAAACTACAATTTATAAAGGAAATGTACTAAAATACTTCCAAAGTCTTGCTTTATAATACAGTGTAAATGCTTGGTGGGAAAAATAGTTTTCTGTGGATAAGTTTTCATCTGTGCGTGCATTGAATTTGTTCCTGTTTGTGCGTCTCCAGGGTTTTCCGTTCCACACTGACCAGCATCCCTCAGACTCAGTCTCTGCTCAACAAGGCCAAGATGCCGCTAGGCCTGCTGCTCCACCCCTTCAAAGACCTCTCGGTAACACCTCAATTTCACATTTAATGCTCAGACTTGGTTTGTTAAAAATGATTGTTTATAGTAAGCTTATTTATTAGATCTTGTGTAAACATAAAGGCAGGGTTACTAAGCTAGTTTCAAGATGCTTAACCAGACTCTTTTTTTTTACTAGTTTTAGAATGTGAATGAGAAAGATGTCAGACTGGAAAAGTATTTCTGTGACAGCAGTGTGAGTGCATAAAAGGAAACGCAGCATGTTATTATTATTATTACTATTTGAAAAATGTATTTAATGACTGATTGCATGTTCACATACGGGGATTCCCACTGATAGCCAATCAAAATGAATGTAACAGAAAGTCACCATATACCAGAGCTGCTATACCGGGCTGATGGGTTGACGGGGTGAAAGCAGCAGACCTTTATAGTAGTGTTGAAAGGGTTAATTGTAAAGTAGACATTTGAATAGTAACACATGTATCCTGGACACTTTGAACTGCAAATCCAGAATATCTGTATTAGTGGGTCAGACTTCAAGGTTACAGCTCTAAAAATAGACTCAAATTTTATCATTTGACCTGCATTTTTGAACTTTAGTTGTGGTTTTGTCCCTATCAGGTTACAACTGAATAAATATGTTGGGTGATTTTGTCAAACATTCATAACACGCAAGATGAGCTGAAGGTTTTCACTTCCAGCACATCGTGAAATACTTTTACTCCTCTGTCTCAAGATTTGTCAGGTTAACAATTTGTTGAACTGCCTTTCTGGAATTAACCTGTAATTCCTCTGGTTTGTTGTTCTTATGTAAACATTGTGAATGGCGTTTAACAGGTATTTCTGTAAACCAAATCCTTAAATTTATTTATTTTTTTAAAATATAGAAAAGTTAATAGTATAAGCCTTTAACCCAAGGTAGTCAGTCATACTTTTTAAACAATGCACTCCAGAACCATTTTCAGATGAGCTGGTCTCCCCTACTTCACTTTTAAAACTCTATGGCTGTGAATCTGTATTAATTTTATTGCATTCATGTGAATTAAGGTCATGGCAGCAGACATTTCAGCATTAGAACTTTCATTTATATCCTAGATTTAGATACGCTAGCTACACTCAATTAGTACTGATTAAACAGATTCGTTTTATCACTGTTTTTCAAAATAGGATTTGACTAAATACACCTCTAGGCAAAACTGTCACAGCGAATTAATTTACGTTGCCATGTTAAGTGAGGACACAAACAGCAGAGACGTTGCACAACTTGAACAGCAACAAGAAAGTCTTTATTGAAATGCCGCTCACAATGAGCTGCAAAGAAGAAAATGAGTTTGCCTGGAGGTACCTGTCTCACAGAGGTTGCATTTGTTCTGTGGTTTTATTATTGCAGCAACTTCCTGTGGTGACATCCAGCACCATTGTCAGGTGTCGGTCCTGCAGAACCTACATCAACCCCTTTGTGTCTTTCCTGGACCAGAGAAGGTGGAAGTGCAACCTGTGCTATCGGGTCAACGACGGTAAGAAAGAGGAAAGTGGTGACAGAGAAAGGAGGATCTGACAGAGCTACTGTGTGGAGAACACTGGAGGCACTTGATATGAGTCCAAACTAATACAGCGCCACAACAAAATGTATTCTACAAAGTTACAAGTGGAGAAAATGGCAAAGCAATATTTTTGTATTGCAAACTTATGTCTTCAGCATTTTTATTGTTGTGACAATGTCCTCATGCTGCTGTCTTGGCCAGATCTCTGAAGACATTACATTCTCAAAGACACTTTACACAGTTAGATAAAGGAAAAAGACTTGGTTAGAGGATGATTTTATAACAACGACTGGAGAATAATAGTATAATGGTGCATAAAGGGATGCATTTTATCCTCCGATCTTGTTTTTTTCTTCAAGGATAAAAAAAGTGTGTAATACTTCAACCTCACTTGATGTTATGTTTCTGTGTATGCAGTTCCAGAAGAGTTTATGTACAACCCAGTCAGCAGATCATACGGAGAGCCACACAAACGACCTGAGGTCCAGAACGCCACCATTGAGTTCATTGCACCTTCAGAATACATGGTAGGTTTACGGAGCTTCACTGAGCCATTGCAAGTGTTTTTGGGCTTTTAATGTGATCGTAGTTGTGTTGTTTTGTTGAGCTTGCAATGAGTAACCTGTGTTTGCCCTGATTTTGTCCAGCTGAGGCCACCACAGCCGGCCGTTTACCTCTTCGTTCTGGACGTATCCCACAATGCAGTGGAGACGGGCTACCTGAATGTCTTCTGTGAATCACTGCTGGAAAACATCAATGCGTATGTACAACATTAAATTTTAAATTATTGCATTTCTTCAGACAAAATTGCCTTTTTTTTTTCAATTTCTTCATGTACTTATAAACTATATATGGAGGGCTGTTACACACACACCCAGTTTAAATGATTCGGACTTACTATGTAGGTACACCAAGATGTATTAATAAGTCAAAGTCAATTTTTCCCTGTGTTTACTTAGCAGTTGGCCGCTCTATATATTTCAGATACTGGATAGTATTAAATTAATGCCAAAATATGAAGAAAAAACATAATCCAACATAGCATGCCGTCTTAGTGCAAGGAGCTTAAAATAGGGCTTCGTAAATATGGATGAAAGTATGTCATCTCTGTCACCTGAGTTTAAGCTTTTCTAAATTGTGTATATGTCTGTATATATGTGTGTTCCAGGCTTCGTGGAGACTCAAGGACAAAGGTGGGCTTCATCACCTTCGACAGCACCATCCACTTCTACAACCTCCAGGAGGGACTTTCTCAGCCTCAGATGCTCATCGTGTCTGACATTGAAGGTGAGATGCAGCCAACAGCAAAGGCCACACTCTAATTATTACAGCTTGTTGACATCAGCTGTCTGCAGACTTACTACGGGAGTTTAGAGCCAATAAATGCATAAGGTCACAAACTGTCTGGGTCGCTGTCCAAGACGTGTTGTTACAAATTTCCTGCTGTCTTGCTTTTAAGAAGTGTTCACTTCTACTTTATGTGAAACTTTGCAAAAACTTCTCAAACATTTAGCCCCAAATTTCTCACTTTTCTGATTCATTGAATAATTAATCTATTCCAGGCACATTAATGCAGACAGTCCTCAAGTCCGACCTTACAGCTGTTCTGTTTCCATTGTTGTGAAGGATCCAACAACTTTGATCACAATGCTTATTCTATGCACACCAAACCAGAAACAAATTGTAGTTATTGGACGTAACTCCACTCCTATAATCACATACAAAATTGAGTAATGAATCGAGATGGTTGCTGCACCACTGTTTTGCATAAAGAAAAAAAAATACGATGCTGTTGATGGTGGTATTTGAGAGGAGAAGACTGCTGCTACAACATGACATGGACAGGGGGGGAAAAAGGCACTTTTTGTCAGAGTTTAAATAATCAGCAGCAAGCTTCGCTCAGCAATTTTTCAGGGCCACTCAAAAGCACCTACCAGGGGTGTCATGATACCAGAAATGTGCTAGTGAGTAGCAATACTAAAATTGTACAGCTCTTTATCAATTTCCAATTTTTTATGGTGGCACTAGCATTTCCACTGCAGTCCCCAAGTTTCTGATGGAATGTAACCTTAAATATTTAAAACGTACTATACTGCACTCGAAATTTCACTCATCCAGTTTCCCTCCGAGGGCTTTTGTGTGAGTTTTTGTCATAATAATTCTGTGGCTCTAAAAAGCTTTGGGTGTAGTTGGCTGTGTGTGTTGATCTACTTTGTGCCTGTCTCTCCTGCTCAGCATCCTTCTCAGGTTGGTATAGCTAAAAAGGCGATTAGGAAAACTGCAGAGGCTGCTGCGCACTGCATGCAAACACATCACTATCTGTCAACAGGCTGAACGGGAGGGGGGGGCAGCAGAACTGGGCCCTCATTAAATTATGAAACAATTATTCAAAATTTTTCAAAATAGACCTATTTGTGGGGGGAAAAAATATATAATATTTGAGTTACATAAAAGCTTTTCATTAGTTTTCTTCCTAATTGTCCTTGAAATAGTGGTCAAGAACCCCCTCACCCCAACACAAAAATGATTTGGCCACTGATCAAACTTTGATGTTGTCATTTGATTTAAAGTTCAGTGCCCTCAACATGTCCGGTCAGCCCAGGTCCAGTGCTCAGGAAAAAAAAGAAAAGAAGAAGAAAACAGGGGCCTCAGAGATTTACTCAATAAATATTTTTTTTAAAAGGTGGTGACGGTGAAGCTGAACCTGGTACCTGAACCTGAACTTTTTATTCCCCTAAAAATAAGACTTAAAGAGGTTCTACAAGGGGGGTTCCTGCAGTCGGAACAACATGCACAAAGGCACAGACGGCACTAAAACTTCAGATCATTACTGTTGTATCAGCGGTGTATATGACTGTTATAGTCATTGAAATAACAAAATGTTGTGCTCCACAGATATCTTTTTACCAACACCAGACAGCCTTCTAGTAAACCTCAATGAATGCAAAGAGGTAAGAAATTCAACAATCCCATATATTTCTGGATTTTAAACTTAATTTTAGCTGTGTTTTCTGTTTCTTGACACCATTTAGGAAGTAGCACTGATTACAACTGCATATTTTCAATGTTACATGCTTTCTAAACACTGCCTACACTGCTTAGTGATAAGACTCACGCCTCATATTTGTTTCTCAGCTAGTGCAGGATCTGTTGAAGAGCCTGCCAAGTTTATTTGAGAAGACGATGGAGACCCAGTCTGCCCTGGGTTCAGCTCTGCAGGCAGCCTTCAAGCTGTTGTCGCCCACTGGAGGACGCATGTCTGTCTTTCAGACCCAGCTGCCCAACCTCGGTGTGGGGGCGCTGCAGTCCAGAGAGGACCCCAACCAGCGGGCATCTGCCAAGGTAAGACCTGGGGTGATGAGGTTTATCAGGGACAATAATGAGTGGTGTGTTCAGCATCATACAGGAGGATTAAAGAGCTGCATATCCTGCAGTGCCTGTATAGCCAGATGTCACTAGAGATATTTTTTGTTAAAGACAACTATAAATCCAATACCATGACAGAAAAACTGCTATAAAAAAGAGTAGAGAACACAGACTTCTTCAAAAAATAAAATAAAATAAAATTTTAAGATGTAATGCCTCAAGACAGGATGATGAGCTGCTGTAATACTTCAAGAAGTAATCATGAACCATCACTCATACATGATGATCATTTGACTTATTTCAAACTTCTTATTTCACCTCTACCTCATAGTTGCTTTATATTTACATTTTGTGCCCATGGTTCTACCTGTTGTGTTTTCCTCTCAGGACATCCAGCACTTATCTCCAGCAACAGACTTCTACAAGAAGCTGGCTCTGGACTGCTCAGGCCAGCAGGTGGCCGTTGACCTGTTCCTGCTCAGCGCTCAATACTGTGACTTGGCATCGCTCGGTGAGTCTGGGATGAATGGACCGGAGAGGGAACCTAGAGGGAATGAATGGTTTATTCAACCTTTTGTGTTTGTTTACATGTTTAGTGCTTAGCCCAGAATATTTTTGACTCATTTCAGGTTTACTTGGAAAGTGTACTGTGCTTGCTATACGACTTCAGTAAATATAAATACAAATCATAATGTTCAACTTGTAATGTTATTTCCTCTCAGTGCTAAAATTACCAAAACACACTGAATATACAAGTTGAGTTTATAGAATACTGTGATTTGTATTTATTGTAGGATAGCTTTACTTCTTTGGGCTTACGTTCCCAACTGATTTGGACAAACCTCTTGGGAAAGCAACACATTGAAAATCAACTAGTTTAATCTGTTGCTCAAAATGGCAACTTATTTTTGGGTTTTAAAGCACCATGTGCTTAAGGTAAAAACTTTCATAATGCAATATGTCATTGGAAACAAGGAAAAGCTGAAGACACAACCAGGAAGCCTCAGACTTTTCCTTGTAATAGCAGATGTAAACAGAGAACTTTTATCTGTGTTTTATATATACTTCTCGATTACCTTCTGTCTCCAAGGTTGCATATCCAGATACTCGGCAGGGAGCGTTTACTACTACCCCTCCTACCACCACCAGCACAACCCAGCTCAGGTGGAGCGCTTCCAGAAGGATCTGAAGAGATATTTAACCAGGAAGATTGGCTTTGAGGCTGTCATGAGGATACGCTGCACCAAAGGTCTGTTGGCACAAAAAAAAAAACCTGCAGTTGGCTGGCTGTTGAATATGCATTAATATACATTCCCAAATGTCTGTTTTTTTGTCAGGTTCTCATTTGTAAATGCTGTTCTCTTTCTTGTCTTTTTATTTGCTATATTCATCTTGATTTGTAAAGCACTATTTCAATATGAACAATTAGGGTTCAATTATTTGTTGTCTTGCTCCTAAATAAAACCAGAGTCTGGCACCTGAGATAAACTGAAAATGTTTTTAATTTAAAAGATATTCCATTTGATTGTAGGTAATGTTTCCCTGAATCTCTACTGCTAAGGTTCAGAGTGTGAGGTTTGTGTGTCCCACAGAGCCACTATAGCCACATTGATGGGAAATACAGCCATCAGTGTTGAAACAAAGCAGAATTTTCCAATAGAGATTTTCTGTCCAAATCAGCTCCATCAGTTTTTAGCACACAAAGTGTTGTTCTACTCACTTTTATGCACTACCAATAAACAGTTGAGTCTTTACAGCCTGTGAATTCATTTAAATGTTCATGACGAATATTTGGCATCAAAGTCTAAACTCTGAGTAAGTGTAAAGAACCATAATGTCTCTAGAATTCAAGACAATAAAGTTTTGTTGTTGTTTGGCAGCTTTTTTGCAGTTGATTCTGACAATTTAACGCTGTCCCATTTGATTGATTTCTTGTCTCCGTCTGTCTCCTTGCAGGTCTGTCCATCCACACGTTCCACGGAAACTTCTTTGTCCGCTCCACAGATCTGTTGTCCCTCCCCAATGTCAACCCAGACGCTGGCTTTGCAGTTCAAATGTCCATCGAGGAAAACCTGGACGACATGCAGGTCGTCTCTTTCCAGGCTGCTCTTCTCTACACCTCCAGCAAAGGTACAAACACACACATGGTAGATAAGATTAGAAATACCGCATCTCTGCCTTTTTTTTTTTTTGTTTCAATTGGTGCATTTTCTTTTCCAGGAGAGAGGAGGATTCGTGTGCACACTTTGTGTCTCCCTGTGGTCAATTCTCTGTCAGATGTCTTTTCTGGGGCTGATGTTCAAGCCATCACTGGACTGTTGGCTTGTATGGGTACGTACTGCTCTAAGAAACACTGTGAAGGAAACATGTTTGGTGAGACTGTTTCAGAAGGACACGTCACTGGGACTGTACAGTGTATTAGGTACATAATCAGCTCACAACATTAAATGCTTTGATTCTTCAATTGTAAGATAGGGGGACGTGTTTTTGCTCAGAGGAGAATTCATTTTTATGTTGTCCATAACAATTCAGTGTCACATCAGACAGTTTGTTTTTATTAAGTGTTTGAACACTCAGTACCACATGTACCCTTATTCCTTTCCAATTTCACTCAACACAAAGTTTTAGATTTTTTGTTCATATGGAAAACTCACTGTTTGTTTTATTTGGTTAATTTATGTAGCTTTCTACAGGATTCTGATAAACAGTAATAATTCTATTCCATAAGTTTTACCTTAAGGCCAGTGACTATTTTCAAGATAATTGATTGTATCAGAGCAGATGAATATTCTGTGTGAGAGTTGGTGTTGTGTATGATATTGGTAAAATGTGAATTTGTATGAAGCATCACTCTGAAAATATTCCTCATTGTCACAGTAAATAGTCCTTTAATTGGCTTGATGCAAAATCTTTTCAGGGTTTTCATCCACTTCTCTGTTATTAGCACCGACAGATGGTGATGAGTGGCGACAGCTGTGGTTGCTTAGCAACCACTGCATACTGAGCAGTCGGGTCTGTCCTGGTTCATCTGACATTAACTTCAAGAACAGGCACTGATATTTTTGCTTTCTTAAAAATACGTAACAAGACTTTTTTTTTTTCATTTTGATCTCATGATGAATGTCAGCTGGAGGAGAGCTGTTTTGACACTCTTCCTAAGGTGTGAATCATGATGCCTTGCTGAAACTCACCGCCAATAAACTCGCAGCTGTAATGTGCACAATACTGACAATCTTTAAGATGCATTACACTTACACTGCCCCTGACCGATAGGAAATGTACAGCTTTTAATCAAAGAACTTTCTTTCTCAGTTTTTTTCTATGAGTTTTCTTCTTCTTTTTTTTTTTAATTAAAGCACTACTCATGGTAAAATGTCGTAAAATATTTAACCTAATTATTTTGCTAACTTATCTGCACACTTCACTTAATAATGGCATCAAAACCAACTTAAAAACTTAACAACATGGTTTTATATAATGCTTGTTTGGTTATTGTTTTTCTGTATATTGTGTCTTGTGCCCAAAATAACATGGACTTATTTGACCCATTTTTTCACTTGAAGTAAACCTGTAGGTTTATTCACAAATCAGGTATTAGCTCATGATCTCCTTTCAGCATCACCCTCATTTAAAATACTTTGAATTACAGAAGTCAGGCACCATTGACATGTTTCCTCCTAAATCTTGTCTTTCTTAAGTCAAACTTTGCATGTGGTTTTAGCATCTTTCCAAATACTCTCGTATAATTTTTTGTTAGAAGAAGCAATTCCTTTGGAAATTGACATGTTCACTGTGTTTTTCTACCAGTTATGTTGCTAGTTCTATTCTAGTGTTATTCCACACATCCTTCACACCACACACCTTCTCCTGACATCTGATGATGTGTTGCTCTCTCCAGCTGTGGACCGTTCAGTGACGGCCAGTTTGAGTGATGCCAGAGATGCGATGACCAATGCTGCCATCGACTCGCTGACATCTTACCGGCAGTCTGTGCTTACCATCCAGCAGCCCGGCCTGCTGGCTCCAGCCTGCCTCAGACTCTTCCCACTCTTCATCCTCGCCCTGCTCAAACAGGTCGTCTATTTTAACAATATACAGTCATCGCACCTGAACTACACTGTCAGCCAGTTGTTTGTTCTACTATAGAGTTCTGTTTTGTCTTTGTTAATAATAACAAATGTACATAGGTACATTTGTTATTATTAAGGATCAATCTAACACATCTTCTTTTTGATTAGTTGGTTGATTTACTATTTTAATGGACACAGAACACACTACCCTTATTCATAGGGCTGCAACTGACAATTATTCTCGCTGTTGATTATTTTTTCTATGCAAAAAGTTATTTGATCTATGAAATGTCAGTA